GGAAATGAAACGCAAGCTCGCCGAAGGCTTAGGCGAACCCCTCATCCAACTCCGCACCAGAACGCCTTTCACCCTAAGGGTGCTGGCGGCCAAGATCCCCAACAAATACCGGGGGCAACCCATCAAACCATACGAAGGGAAGACGGATCCCCAAGAACACTACAGCAGGTACCAAAATAGTATGATGATGGGGGCATCGGATGAATACTTATGCCGTTGGTTCCTTTCCACCTTAGAAGGGCCGGCGTATGAGTGGTTCAACCAGTTGCCCGAAGGCAGTATAGACTCATGGCAAGAACTTGCCCACCGCTTCCTCACTCAATTCGCCGGGAGACACCGGTCAAAGAAACACTTCTCCCACCCCTCGAGGTATATGCCATCAACCCTGATGAGCCTTATTGCCGATTTCATCGCCACCATGGGCACAAAACTGATGACTGCCATCAGCTAAAGACGGCCATCGAAAGGCTAATACAAGCGGGCCACTTGTCTCAGTTTATCAGGGGGGCCCTCCTCAGGGCCCCCCTCATCACCAAGGGCCCCCGCCGAAGGCTCATAAATGGGTAAACCCAAACACCATCCCCTTGGGAAACCCGCAGGGGAAGAAGCGAGAAATTGGTAACCTCAGTGAGGAGGAGGATCCCCAACACCAATACAAGCGCCACATTCACATGATCAATGGTGGCAACACCGGAGGCGATTCAACGAGCCAAAGGAAGAAGTGGGCTCAGTCCCTTTACATTGGGGAAGTCAGCCACATGCCCCCAACTAAGAGGCCGAGGGCGGATCCCATCTTCTTTACAGATGCGGACCTGCCCCCGGGTTCCCTTTCTCACAGGGATGCCCTCGTCATCCGCACGGAGATTAATAACGCCATCATCCTTCGGACTTACATTGACACGGGGAGTTTTGTCAACGTAATGTATCTCAGAACCTTCCGGGAACTTGAACTTGATAGGGGTAGCCTTCGGCACATCAACACCCCCCTCTCCGGTTTCACCGGGGACAGCATAGACGCCGAAGGCGTCATCACCCTTATGGTTGATTTCGGCGACAGATCCCATAGAGCCAAGCTCGAAGTGAAATTCATCATTGTCAACCTCGAATGCGCACACAACATCATCCTCGGCCGTCCTGCCCTCGAGGATTTGGAAGCCGTCATCTCCATGAGGCACCTCTGCCTCAAGTTCCCCACACCCACCGGCATCAGTTACTCGAGGGGAAATCAGAAGCTCTCCAGGGCATGCTACCTTCAGCTCACTAGGAAGTTTGTAAAACTGAACTTCGCATTGATACAATCACCGCCAATGCCCTGGAAGAGGAAGAAGGCAGGCCGAGGGCTGAGCCTGCCGAGGACACTGAAGACTTTGCACTCGATCCGGCCAAGCCGGAGAGAGTCTTGAAGATTAGAGCCAAGCTCCCTGAAGACTTGAAGACCGGCATCACCGAAGCCCTCCGCGCCTACTCCATTGTTTTTGCATGGGGGCCGGAGGATATGCCGGGGATCGACCGAAGGGTCATCACTCACCGCCTGGCGGTGGACCCTTCGGCCAAACCAGTGCAACAAAGAAGAAGGCCCCTCTCGGCCGAGAGACGGGATTTTGTCAAGAAAGAGGTCGCCATGCTCCTCTCCATCAAACACATCAAGGAGGTGAAATATCCCTCGTGGTTGGCTAATGTGGTACTAGCACAGAAGCCACCCACCTTCCGCATGTGTGTGGATTACACTGATCTGAATAAGGCATGCCCTATGGACCCCTTCCCTCTACCGAACATTGATCAACTAGTGGATGAAACCGCGGGATGCGAAATCATGTCATTCCTCGATGCATTCCGTGGGTATCATCAAATCTACATGCATGAGGAAGACGCTGAAAAAACAGCCTTCATGACACCCGAAGGGATATTCTGTTATCTTGTGATGGCCTTCGGCCTCAAGAATTCAGGCGCCACCTACACCCGCATGGTGGCCAGGGTCTTTCAAGCCGTCCTCGGACGCACCATGGAGGCCTATGTTGACGACATGATCGTCAAAAGCAAGCAATCAAGCACCCATGCCGAGGACCCCCGGGAAATTTTTGCCATCATGCAGAAGTTCAATCTCCGGCTGAATCCAAAGAAATGCACCTTCGGCGTGCAAGGAGGGAAATTATTGGGCTACATGGTCAGCCGAAGGGGTATTGAGGCCAACCCCGAGAAAATTCAAGCTATCATCAACATGGAGCCCCCACGCAACGTGAAAGAGGTCCAACGGCTGACGGGTCGCCTGGCGGCCCTCAACCGCTTCCTCTCCAAATCAGCCGAGAAGGCCCTTCCCTTCTTCCAAATCATGAGGAAGACAGCTGGCTTCCAATGGACATCTGAATGTCAAGAGGCCTTCAACGAATTGAAACAGTACCTCTCTTCTCCCCCGGTGCTCTCCAAACCCAAGGTGGGGGAAACCTTATACTTATACCTTGGTGTTAGCCCTGCCGCCATCAGCTCAGTGCTAATCCGGGAGGAAGACGGCATCCAGCATGCTATCTTCTACGTCAGCAAAACCCTCCGGGAAGCAGAGCTCAGGTACTCCCCTGTGGAAAAAACGGTACTAGCCATTGTTTGGACCGTTAAGAAACTGGGCCACTACTTTCAAGCTCATCCGGTCCAAGTGCTCACACACCAACCCCTCGGCGCCCTCATGAGGAGCCCCACCAGCTCCTCCCGAATGGTCAAATGGGCCATCTTCCTCAGCCAGTACAACATAGACATTCGTCTGAGGCCTGCCATCAAGGGCCAAGCCCTAGCAGACTTCGTCACAGAATGCACCGCGAGATCCGCGATGGATGAGGAGCCTTCGGCACCTCTAGATGAGTGGTGGACCCTCTACACCGACGGCTCCTCGGCCACCAAAGCATGCGGAGGAGGGGTAGTTCTCATCACACCCGAAGGCTTCCGCGCCTATTATGCAATCCGCTTCTCCTTCAAGGTGTCCAACAACGAAGCCGAATATGAGGCCCTCCTCTGTGGCCTTTGGCTAGCAGCAAACCTGAAGGCTAAGATGATCCACGTCAAGTGTGATTCCAAACTTGTCGTGGGCCAGATTTCCGGGGAGTACGAGGCCAAGGAAGGGAGGATGAAGCAATACATAGAGGCGGCTAAGGAGTTGCTTAAGGTATTTGAGGCTCACTCTCTCACCCAACCTTTGAGTTTGACCCGAGCCGGTAGAAGACGGAAGGCTGCCGACAGAGGACGAAGGGCGGCCGCCCTCCGTGGCCGCCTGCGACACAAGGGGACGAAACCAACCACCGGCCGGTGCGATTCGACGGCAGGCGGCCAGACAGAAACGGCAGGCGGCCGCCTGCTGGACTGCCTGCGGCTGACGAAGACTGGCGCACGTCGGGTTGCCGGCGACAAGACGAAAGGCGGCCGGTGAGCAACGAAGGGCGGCCGCCCTCTTGGGTGCCTTCGGAAAAATTTGGGCTATAAATACCATGCTTTTTCCCCATCTCAAAAACACCAATTTCAAGCCCAAATCAGATAAAAAAGGGCGTCTTTTTCCTCCTCAAAGCTCGGATTTCCACCATTGTTGCACCTTCAACTTCAATCTTTCATATCTTTCTCATTTTAGCTCCAAATTGTGAGTTCTTTATATGTATTTTCATCCTATCAATGTGTAGAATCTGAATCTGTACTTAGTTTTTTCTATATGTGCTTCGAAAATTTCCAGAAAATTATTCCACTATTTCACATTTTCTTCTTAAATTTGAATAAAATAGTTGTTGACATTAAATCCATTCCAATTAATTATATAGTTGTTTACTAGCCTCAAGGTAGTTATTTATCAATACAAAGTTAACTTTTACGAATTAGAAGTAATTTTTAATTAATTCCGGCATTTAGTGGTTATTATTGCATAAATTAAATTAAATACTCAAAAAAAGGAAAAAAATAGTTTATGTCCTAATTCCAGTTTAATTCACAGTAATATCACTCCCAGTAGTCAATATAAAATTTAGAAATAATTTAGAATATTTGTAGTTGCTTTTTGTATTTCCTAGTTCATATTGGGAAAATTATCAATTGGTTGTTAAAATTGGATTTTAGGTTATAAAATTCGGGAAAAATTTCAGAAGGTGATATTTTAGTTCTACAAGTTTTTTTTGGCAGAATATTATTTTTGTTTAATTTTCACTATCGTACATGTTTAATTCCTTGTTAATGTTTAATTTATTCATTAGATTGTTAAATGCAAAAATGGTGTTTAGTAGTTAATTTGTTCTGGGCATGAACTGACTAAAGGAATATGAGTTGACTTGTTGACCGAAAATTAGGGGTTAAAATTAATAATTTGGACTAGTTGTTTAAAATGATAAAATAGTAATTAATAATTGTTAGCCATTTTCATTAATTAAATTCTTGGAAAATTATTTCTAACTTGTCTATGAGATTAGAAAATAATTTAAGTCAACCATATTATAGCACATTAATAACGCCTAGAAATAGGATATTTTAATGAAAGGGATTTACATCTTGTCTATGAGAAATAAATTCAATTGCTTAAATAATGAGTTTAACTAGTTAATGAATTTGGCAATTTTTATTAATTTAAATATTGGAGAATTATTTCTGCCTTGTCTATGAGGTTAGAATTTAATTTAAGTCAACCATTTTAAACAGATTACTGATACCTAGAAATAGGATAAATTAATGAAAATAGTTTATATCCTTGTCTATGAGGAAAGAAATTATTAGTCCAATTTTAATTTTAATTTCCTTAATTACTAGGTCCAAGAATATATTCATTTCTAATTACTCAATTCATTGCCCTTCTTTGATCAATCCATTTAGAATTTAATATGTCTTTCATTTAGTTTATTTTTGAGCCATCATCAATAATTGCATAAATTTAGTTAATCTCTTTTCCAAAAAAATATTTTAGAAAATCAATCAAAAGTTTTAATTTGGAAAGCTTCCAATAATTTGCGATAACCTGTGACTAGACTTAAAATAAAGAAACTCATCCACCATTCCTCATCAAGAGACACGATACTCGGGGGAAAACCGAAAGGTTAGACTCCGTTTTACTACAACGCCGCGAAAACGGTTATCAGCATGTCTTCTAAGATCTGTATGACTCTTTCAGACTGCCTATCCGTCTGTGGGTGGAAAGCAGTACTGAACTTCAACCTCGTTCCCATAGACTCCTGAAATTTCGGCCAAAAACGTGATGTGAATCGTGGGTCTCTATCGGATATAATGGTCACTGGAACCCCATGTAGCCTCACGCCTAGTTAGTTAAATACGGTACGGGAATTAAATGAGGTTTAATACGTACGCATTTTATTCGGTAACATGAATTAAAAAAACGATCAAAAATTCGTTGAAAAAAACGTTGACTTTTATAAAACGTGTAAATACGTATATGTGTATAATACGTTATCGGTTGCAAAAATTCGGACAAAAAATACGGGGTAATATTTTGAACATATAAATTATATACTTCACACAAATAACATATATAGTAAAAAGAATTAAAAGTATACACATAAACACATATTTTAGTAGCAAATCTCATTACTATGTAATTCGTAATTCTATCGGAGAGCCTCCAAGGAGGCGGGGATAAACCACAACTGATGCAATTAAGTCCAAGACATACTTTTGCAAAATAATGTCAAAATAATAAGACAAAATAACAATAGAATGAGACTAAGTCAAAATCATTATCTTTCTGTTATCATCAATAACACTTAAGATAAAGTTATCATTTTCATCAAGATGACGGATGACATATGAGAAAAGTTGTGCGATTGCTACGCTTATTATTGTTTATGTGCAAAAGTTTATACTAAAAATGTCAGGTCTAGAAAAAACTTAACTTTGATATGATTCTTTGAAAAAACATCATAAATCTAGTAGTATTTTAAGTTTTTGTCCTTTAGGGTGCTAGTTTTAGCCATCATGCAATTAACTTTAATATTTAATAAATGTATAGTAACAATACAAGATCATGAGGAGGACGTTTTCATTTTTACTTTTAAACTATTGTTGATCTCTTATGCATTTAATGCATTGGTTCAATTGTTCAATTCATGTTTCTGGTTTTGTAAAATAAGGGAAAAATACGTTTTATACGGGAAGTAGGAGTTTTTTTTCCTTTTTAAACGGGCCAACATTATTTTTCGTTTTAAACGTGTTTTTTAGCCCAAAAAAACGGTATGTGTTTAAAACGCGTTTAAAACGGGAAAAGGCTAACTAGGGCCTCACGATCTTATCCGTATACAATTTGGCTAACCTCTTGAGTGGGTAGGTAGTGTTGATAGGCAAGAAGTGTGCACTCTTCGTGAGCCTATCCACAACAACCCAAACTGCATCATAGTTCCGAATTGTCCGTGGTAAACCTACCACGAAATCCATAGTCACATGTTCCCACTTCCATTCAGGAATGGAAAGTGGTTGTAATAAGCCTGCTGGATGCTGATGTTTTGCCTTAACTTGCTGACAAGTAAGCCATCGACTGATGTATTCAGCTATTTCCCTCTTCATACCAGACCACCAGTAACTTTCTTTCACGGCACATTTTCGTGCCCCCCGGGTGCATGGCATAAGCCGATGAATGAGCCTCCTCGAAGATGGACTTTCGGAGCTCGTCATCTGACGGTACACACACTCGGTCACGGAATAACAAGAGACCATCATCTCTTTCCCTGAAATCCTCCACCGGTCCCGCTTGCATGCGTTCTCGGACCTTCATAAGTTATGCCTCAGTCTCTTGACCCTTCTTGATCTCATCAAGTAAGGTCGGTCTCACTTCAAATCGTGCCAATAGGGCACCATCACTAGATACATCCAATTGGGCCCTCAGTGCCCTCAAACTAGTCAATAATGCCCCAGACGAACTCTTCTGACTGAGGACATCTGCTACAACGTTTGCCTTACCTGGATGGTACTTAATAACTAGATGGTAGTCCTTTATCAACTCCATCCACCGTCTCTGTCTCATGTTTAACTCTTTCTGAGTAAACACATACTTCAAGCTCTTATGACCAGTATATATGTGACATGTCTCCCCGTAGAGATAGTGTCTCCATATCTTCAATGCAAACACCACTGCTCCCAGCTCTAAATCATGAGTAGGATAGTTTACCTCATGCTTCTTCAACAGCTGTTTGATCTCCCTCGATCACCCTCGAAGCGTAGGGTCTCCCCATCATTGCCTTCGAGATCAAGAACCTTCTTGTAGCAATCTACCCTAGCATGGTTTCTTTCTAGCCAATCCATCCCTAGGATTGCATCGAATTCAATCACGCTCAGCGGTACGAAGTCACACGTCAAGGTTTGACCATTAACTTCCACCCCACAAGATGGATAGTAAAAAGTTCTTTCCACGTCATACCCTAGTGGTGTTGATACCACTAAGGTTTGCATCAACGGTGCGGATTGCACTTCCAATTTCTTGGCGAACGTTTCACTCACAAATGAACGTTGCGCCCCGGTATCGATAAGGATTCGCGCATCCTTCCCATTAATCTTTAGTGTCCCTACATTCATGAACCATGTAAGACATCTTTCCTACCCTCCCTACTCATTTATATAAGGTTACAATGTTCACACACACGTTAGGGATCAAGAAAATGTCTTAACGTCGCAAAACGGTGCGAAAAATCGGTTTTCGGCAATCTGGGTGCCAGGCACGGAGTGCCTGGGGGTAGGCACGATCGTTCCTGGCTTGAAAATGTCTAGGGAGATACTTCCATGTAGGCACGATCGTGCTTGCCCCTTAGGCACGATCGTGTCTGGCCAAAAACAGCCCGAAATCGCCCGAAATCCTCCCGGTTCGACCCCAAAGCTTCGTGCAATGATCCCAACGACTAGCAACCTCAATTCATGGACTAATCAAGGATAAAACACAAGTATACAAGAGGTAATACCTGCAACGGAATCCGGATTCGCTCGAGCATCCGCCTCCGTCATCGCATAGACTCTGGCTTGAGTCCTTTCTTGATTCACCGATGGCGCGTTGCTCCCCCATGCCCCCTAGTTGATTGGGAACCCTGGGCTTGGTTTCTTGTTCCCGTGGCCCCGCTACTTGGTCCCGATGACCTTTCCCCACCCAATTGTGGGCAATGCGCCTTCAAATGCCCGACATCCCCGCATTAGAAACATCTAGGGGGGTCGCGACATTTACCGGAGTGGTTCTTCTTGCAATTGTTGCAATGAGTTACCACTGAGGCTTGTGATCTCGAGCCTTGCCCACTCGGGCCTTGGTTCCCCCTAGATGGTGGCGGTGGTGCCCGGAAAGATCGTCCTCCATGGTTCCCCTTTTTGTTGGAACCTTGAGAGCCATGACTCTCCCACTTTCTCTTTTTCGCCTCCTCAGCGTCTCTCTTCTTCCTCTCTTCCCACTGTTTCTCTCCTTTCAACCCTTGGTCAACCACTTGAGCGAATGTCATGTTTGGCAATTGTGTTGCCCTATCACGTATCTCCAAGTCTAGAGCATCCTAGAAGTGGTTCACCATACGGTTCTCGTCACAAGCATACTCCGGTATGTAGTCGGCAAGGTCCCTGAACTTGTACTCAAGTTCCTTCACCGTCATGTTACCCCCCTGGGTTAGAAGGGTGTATTCTCTCACCTTTTTGTTCACCTCGAAATCCGAGTAGTTTTGTGCGAAGAATTCTTGTCGGAAATTCTCCCAAGTGACGGTCTCGCCATATTTGCTTTTGGTCCCATCCCACCACTTGGATGCCATCCCCTCAAGCAATCTTACCGTAATTCTCAGTTTAAGATTGGGCGTGATTTGCATGTCAAGGGCTGCTTCATTTAGCCTCTTGATCCATTGTGCGGCAACCGAAATGTCCCCCGTTCCATCGAACGGTTTGCACCCCAACTCTCTTGCCTCTTTGATAAATTTTGAGATCCTTATGGTTGGACCTCCATCACCATGGCCTCCATGTGGTTCATCATGGGCTCTAGAAGCACCATGGCTTCCTCCTCTCGAAGCTATGCCCGAAGGTTGCCCCGCTCGGCGCCTTCGGCGTTCCCTCCTCTCCTCGCGCTCTCAGTGGTATTGTTGGAGCAGTGCCTCAATCCTTGCCAAGGAGCCATTTTCCTCCTCGTCACTAACGTAATCATCATCCTCTTCATAAGGGGTCTCCACCGGCTCGGTTTGCGGTTGGTAGGTCGAGTCCTCATGGGACCAGTAGTTCTCACTCTCAGTGCTCACATGACCGTCGCTCACGGTCTGTGATCGGCCTCCATGGCCCGCTCCTTTAGATGCCCTAGAGGTCCTACGACTGCCCTGCCTAGTCTCCACCGGTGCACGGCCCAACGGGTTCCTCTTAGTAACCTTGCCACCACGGTCCATTTCTGAAAGAAATTTGGAAAGAGTCGTTAGACTCGTATCAAATGTCAATTGACAGATCGGTACTTGAGACACTACTTGGCTCAAATTGCTGCCATACCAATTGCTAAGGGTACCATCTTAACAATTAGAGACTTTGCAACTCAAGTACCAAAAGCTCTACAAGTACAAAACATTTATGCTCATGGTTTTCAAAATCATTTTGGAAAGAAAATTTTGAGACTTCGTTATGAAGTTTATGGACTAAGGCTCTGATACCAATTAAATTGTCATGCCCCGGACCTCCCCGGACACGTCAACAACCCGTCGTATAATACGAATAGTCAACCGCAGTTCAACACATCCATATTATACAAAGCGTCTTGAATATCATTCACACATATAACATCCATAAACAAACATAATAAGTAATTCATATCACAGCGGAAAACATTGTTTAAAACAAAAGGGCCACACAGGGCTATTCATGAGCACACAGACTCTATAGTAAAATATCCATGAGCAAATTTATTAATGTTTCAAATAGAATGGAGGAAACACGAACCAAGTCTTCTCTCCGAGGAATCACTCAATCAACGAGCACAGGATGCAAGCTCAAGCCTCAACCTGAAATGTTGGTGGGACGCCCCCGAAGGGGTCAGTACTCTATACGGCTATAAAGTACTTGTGTGGCAGGCATCTAATAGATATACAACAAGTATTTCAAACACAAGATCCTCAAATAGGGTGATAGTACATTATGATTGTAACCCTAAGTTACCCCATTCAAAAATATACTTACTTTATATAAAAGTCAAGTAGTCGGCCCGTGGGCCCATATTCATTTAGAAATCACCATTCCCATTCCCCGTGACTATAAGCCACGACAATTCATAGAGTCCAACCCTAACACATGACATTGTATTCTAGAGCTCGGCTCTATCACATCGCCATACAATTCATGTCACTTGGGACAATTTCCTTACCTTGCGTTCTAGAGCTCGGCTCTATCACATCACCACGCAAGCCCTAGAGCTCGGCTCTAGTTATACCATACATAGACTACAAGTCTATCACCTTACCATGCATTCTAGAGCTCGGCTCTATCACATCACCATGCACCAAGGTCCAATTTTTAAGCAAACCTATGCCTAGAATTGACATATCAATAAACTACCATGGGTCATCCTTAAAGACTGCCCATAACTTAACCTTAGTCTCATACTAAGTCATTATATACACTTAAAGTATATTCAAGTGCATTTCATACAATCCAATCCTTAAGATCAATTCTATCAACAATTTCCAATAATCACTAACTAGTATTTCAATACTATTAAGATTATTGTTATCATACAAATACTCTCATTTTGTAATTCTCTACATATTTATAAGCATGTAGCAGAAACTTAAGTATTCAATTTCAATACATAAATATTCATTTATGTATCCACATAATTCATACATGAGTAAAATCTCTATTTCACAAAATAGTTCATTTATAACTCATTTAATCTCATATTATTCATACATCCTCAAATCATTTCCAATTTCATTCTTTGGGAACTATATCAATATTTCATCAATATTTAATCATCATAATCCATGAAAAATTATGATTTAGGCATTTAGGTAATCTCATGCTTAACCTACAAGTTGTAAGCAATTAGATGTCAATCCTCACCTTAAATGAGCTTTAAAACTTTCCTTCTCGATCCAATGACCAAAGCCTCGGCCAAGGAAGTTTGAGAACTGATTCCTTGCTTGGAAATGAGTGTTAAACAGCCTCCTCAAGGTGCTAGTTCAACCCCTAATCGTTGATACGAAAACAGCCCCTAAAATGGGTGTTTTCCGGCTAACTCGTTTCCTAGTTTTCCAAGATTTGCTCTAGGTTAGTATCTAACCTTTACACCAATAAAATAACTTTACAAGGACATATTATACACGTGGAGTAGTGTATAATAGTTCCACAAATCGTTCATATCATTGGGAAAATGAAAGGAAAGGTTTTGGGGTTAAAACTCACTTAGAAGAGTAAATTCGTTTCTGCGAGGTCGTGTTCTGCTCGGACGATTTGGAAGCCTTTCACTACTCCGATTGATGCAAACCAGACCTTCACGGATTCCTCGTCTTGAGAGCGTTCTTTGGGTATATTATACGCCTTATATGGACGAGTGAAGATCAAGTTATGGATCAAACAAGAACCCCTATCTACTGGAAGACGAACCTGCGGCCAGCTTCTTCTTCACCTCTCTCTTGAAGTGTGTGGCTCTCCCCTTCTCTATTATCTCCAAAGGTTCGAATGGGGTGTTGGGGGGAGTGTATGGTAGACCTTAATCATGCTAAGAGAGCATGTGGCTCACAAAAGAACATGGGAGATATTTGGTTTGCAATCAAATATGGGGTGGACCTCCCCCTTTTGTTTTCTCTTGGAGTTTTTGAGTACAAGAGCCAAGAGTCCGCCCCATATAGTCATCTGACCTCTTTTCCTTTGTCTTGAAGGTACTCAAGTCATGTGGAAAGGTTCCCACTTGATCCCAATCAATTTGGGGTCCAAAATATCTACCAATACTTCCAAAAAATGGAAAGATGGGTCCTAATGTTTTATCTTTGTCATGAGATGTCTTTTTGTACTCATTCTAATTTATGTAAGACAAGTCAACTCCACACATCATATTATTGATCCCCAATATGTGTAGGATCATCCCAATAATTTACATGATGAATATTATAGAAGAAAAGCCTACTCCCATTATTTAGATCAATAATGTCAAAGAGGGGACCATAGGCATTTGTATTCTTCCCTAGTCATTCTATCACTTATTTTGACATTGTCATTCATATTATAGGACTACTATCCGTGTGGGTCACCCTCGAGT